AGCCACGAGCAAATACATCCGTTGAAATTAGCAAGCGACTAAAATACATCAAAAGTACAAAAAAAAAAAGTTGAAAAAAATATGAACGGATTTTACAAAAACTTCGATTTTTTAAGTAAAGCTACCTCGCACCACCGCGAAACTGCTTCATCACTTCGTCACGCTCTTTCTGCTCCATTTCACCATGAATTGCCGAAACCGTGAAGTTTGCTTCCTTCAGTTTTTCTGTCATCCATTCCACCTATTGTTTATTCACTCATTTACAAATAAACGAAAATTAAAAACAGAAAAAAATCAAGTTACGGAACTTAGTTATGCATGGCTGAACTGAATCTTGCCTGCGCGAACTAGTTCTTGAACAAATGAATGGATTTTTGCACGAATGAACAAACCTCAGTGAAAAAATTAAGCTAAAACTTATTATTCGAAAAACTTATGACTTCAAACTTATGATTCGAAAAATTCATGATTCGAAAAACCGGCCATCGTTATTCCTGTTATTTCCGGGAACACAAAATTTTTCTAACCTTTCTACGAGTATTTACGAAGATGACTGCCTGGGTGATTGTAAGCGTATCGTATAAATCACAGAGTGTATCAAATTTCCATTCTTCGCGATCCACTGCCACAAAAAATTGCTTAATTCCTTCCAGTGTCAATTCATCACTGCAACAATACACCACTATCGAAAAAGGAAGCAAAAAAATGCCATAAATTAACAAATATTTCATCAACAAAACATCAGTTTTTCTGTTAAGTTCTTCAACGAAACGTACCCGTTGTGGGTAAAATACCTCACAGCAAACCAAAAATTTCATTTAAAAGTAAATAAAAACTCGAGGAGGATGATGAAGAGGCTGGAATCAACCGACAATAGCACAACCTATCGCCATTTAGCATTGGCAATAATATTAAATTATCACGATTTCTAAGCTGACTTTAAATGCACTTTTACTGTTTGTTCCAACCTTTTTATATTTTCAAAATTCCCTTTTTCTTTTTGACACTTTGCATGTTATTTTTGCTGCAACCGTCACACTGACGAGATCCAGTTGCAGCACTGAACAGGAATGTATGCGACTTGATGGACCGAAACAATCCTATTCAGGTTTTTTAATCCGATTTATCTTATTCACCTTCCTTTCATTCCTTCCTTTTTAACCCTTACTTTTTACATAAATACACATCATCTAAAATTAAAATTACAATCTAGTCAAAAGGCGGGACATTTGCACATCACATGGAAGAGTAGGAAAGAAGGAGACTGGCTGACTTT